TTGGTAACATTACATTGAATTATATTACTCTACAACTTCCATTCGTTTCTCAAGCGAACCTCTCAATATCCCCATTATTGCATCCGGGGACAGGTATATCATCCGCACATACAAGCATTTTATATTTTATTCCGACGTGCACCCCTCCATTGTATGTTAATGTTGTTCTTATTACTTTCTCTAGGGCAAAGTTAAACAGCATCGGTGAGAGTCCATCTCTCTACCTCAAACCCGTTAGAACTTCAAATGCTCCAGATCTTCTCCTTGTATTAATACAGTACATTTAGGATCATTTGTACACGACTTTGTCTACCTCACTAACTTCCCGGGAACACCCAGCTCAGTCATGATCTCCCAGAGACAGTTCACGGAGTCATAAGTGTTGTATATGTTTACAACATTTCTTAAATCGACCTTTGATTATTATATTTTAACATAATTATTTAAATTGGGAATTAGGTAGCTTAATTATTATTCAATAAACTATAAAATGTTCATTGATCCTGTTGTTTATTCGACGTTTCGATCCCGGTTTTTTTATGCTAACAATGAGATCCTCTTCAATATTACCTTAAGCCAGCACCGTCCACTTGCGCAGATGTTGAGCTACTTACTAGAGGCCGTTGGTGTCTCTACCTTGAGGTATCAAGGCTCTATTTTAAAACATCGAACAGGATCGCATTATTAGAATAAAAAAACCGAGATCGAAACGACGAAAAACCAACAGGATGAATGAACATTTTGTAGTTTATTGAATAATAATTAAGTGGCCTAATTCCCAATTTAAATAATTGTGTTAATATACAATTCTCAGGTCGATCGAAGAAGTTCATTTTAGCAGTGTTTTATTTTATTTATGTTTTATAATTATTTACATTATAAATTCTCAATTTTTGATTTGATCAATGATTTTATTTTTACCCAGTTTTATATGTTACTCCAACCGAAAATAATATTCTTAAATAAATTTAATTATTTTTTTTTTAATTTTGATTTCATAAAGTAAAAGAAAATGTAGGTTATGTGTAGGGCGTTACACCGCTCTCCCTGGTGTTATTGTGTAAATTACCATCCAATGTAAACGTATAAATGATAGTATTGTTAATTTTTTTTTTATAATGAACTTATTTATTGAAAAATATTCCAATCTGTCTCAAAGGACATTTATAATAGTGTTAAGAGATCACTATCACACTCTATATACAATAAATAAAATAAATTATACAGAAAAATAACATATCTACACTGACAGGCAAAAAATTCCACCCACTTGATTTTTTCATGTTTTCATCTAAAAATATTTCTGCCACTTGTAAAAAAAGTTGTATTTGTATATAATACATAGTATTTGTAGATAATACTTAGTATTTATGGAATTTTATAATCTTTTTTACCTTTAATAATCAAAATGTGATTGGGTAAGAAAGAAAGGGGTGGACAGGAACTGCGTTGGAGTGTGAAGGTGATGTGTTGGTATTTGGATTCATTTGTTTTAATACGCCATTTATTACACCAGTGCTCAATCTGGGAGAGGTTTAAGGATGCTATATCAGGATCAGAGTCGGATGATAGAATGGCAGTATCATCAGCAAAAGTTTCCAGGAAGGTATCGGGATAGACAGGGATATCGCCGGTAAAGAGGATGTAAAGGACGGGACCCAATACGCTACCTTGAGGATCACCAGCCTCAATTGGATAGCAATATGTTAAGTTTGAAAAAGAAGCCCGGCGTGCCATACCCGGTCAAAAGCTTCAGCTGTGTCGAGAAATGCACCCGAGCAATATTGCTTGCTTTCCAGGGCTGCGGAAATATGATCGACCACTCAAAGTCCTTGTTGGGCTGTGCAGTATTGGAAACGGGATCTGAGCTAGTGTGAAGGAAGAATTTGAGATTCTATAAAGGGTAGGAATCTTTTCAGTAGCATCTTTTCAAAGATTATTGAAAGGATTGGAAGTAGGCTAATAGGTCTGGAGGAAGTTAAGCTGTTGGGAGGTTTGCCTGATTTTGGGAATAGGATAATAGTAGAATGTTTCCATAAAAGAGGAAATTGGGTGGTTCGGAGGATGCTATTGTATAGGAATGTAAGGAATATGACAGCTTTAGGAGGGAGTTGTCTAAGGATCTGAGAGGTAAGGAGGTCGTATCCAGGTGATGCGGGTAGGTAGTTTTTGTAAGAGGAATTTGACCTCAGAAGGCTTAACTGCTTTAGGCGGTAAGGAGAGTGGGATGGGTGAATTATGGAATTCCTCTACTGCTGACGTGTGGGTGGGATTGGATTCTGGATGAGAGGTGAATGTAAGGGAAAGCTGTTTGGCGAATTCTTCGGCTCTATCTTCGTCAGACTCTGCCCAAGAGCCATCTCCTCGACGGAGAGGATGTGATATATGATGGGGTTTTAGGATATGTTTAGTGGTCTTCCATAGGGAATTGTCATGAGAAAAGAGGGAAGTAAGGTAGGAGTTGAAGGATTGGGATCTGAAGTTGGCCAAGTCTATCTTTAATGTTTTGCAAAAATAATTATAGGATTGACGATCGGTGGGGTGTCTTGTACGTTGCCATAATAATCTGGCACGGCGTTTGGTATGGATTAGGTCTACGAGGTGTTGAGGAAACTTATTTTTCTTAGGAGTTCTTGAAGAGTGGTTTGGAGAGGAAGCAGTCCAGATTGCTTGTTGGATAGTGGTGGTAAAAAAGTGTACGGTATTGTCAAGGTCATCTGGGGTTTTCAGGGTTATTCTGAGGTCAATTTTATCGGAAAGGATTTGGTGAAAGAGTTTCCAGCTGGCCCTCTGATGAAGGACGGTGGAGAAGACTTAGGAATAGAAGCTAGAGATAATTGGAGTAATAATGGACTATGATCTGAGGATAGTTCGGCAAGAGGGGTAAGGGAATGGTTGAGGGAACCTAAGCCACTGTGGATGAAAAAATCAAGGATATCGGGATTGCGGTTAGGGTCTGTGGGCCAGTAGGTAGGTGAGTTAGGAGGAAGGATACTGAAACGTTGGGAATTGAGTGCAGATAACAATGTTCTGCCACGAGAGTTCGTGGTTCTAGAACCCCATTGGCGTTGTTTTTGTACGTGTTTGGCGTTTAAATCTCCACCCAGGATGAAATGATGTCCTAAGGAGTTGTGAAGAGAACTGAACTGGATATTGGATATGGATCTGTTAGGAGGGCAATATGCTGATGCTATGGTGACGGGAAAGGAGAAGGTTTTGATTACGATAGCGGTGGATTGTAGGAAATCTTGTGTCGGCAATGGGAGCTGTTGATGAGAAAGGGAGTGGTGAACAATAACAGCAGTACCGGCGTGTGCTTTACCGTCAGGATGGTCAGTACGGTATGTTATGTATTGAGGTATTTTTAAATGCTGTTTTCTGGTCAGTCGTGTTTCCGTAATTAGTGCTACGTCGATGTTCTTATCCAGAAACAAAGCTGTTAGTTCGTCAACGTGATTTCTAACACCATTCGCATTCCAAAGGAGAATGGACATGGGTTTTGGGATGTGAGTCATTAAGGATTTTTTAAAGGAGGGATGAGGTGAGATACGATATTTGTGAGGGGTGATATGAGTGGAGTAACTAAGGATTTAAAATCGGTAAGGAAAGATGCCAGCAAACTGGTGAGATCTGTTGCATTAGTAGGAGGAGGGATATGATGAATTTGTTGTTGATGGTTAGGTTTATTTGGATCCATAGGATTTTGAGGTTGGGGCTGAGGTTGTTGTTGCAGCAGGGCTTGACAATTATCGGTTGAGCTCTTACCTCAAAGTAGCTGAGAAAATGATACACTATTGTTTACTATTCTAGAAGGTTCTCTATCTCTTCTCGGTCTTCCTGCTTCATCTTGAATCCGGTTTTTCTGGTGTCTGGATTTGAGATTCTTGTAAATTTGGCATCCTTTGTAGTTGGCCGGGTGTCCCTCCAAGCATAGTGCACACACTGCAGGATCTTGTATAGGTTTGGTGCACTCAACAGATTTGTGCTGTTCACCAAATTTCACGCAACGCGGCAGATGGTGACAGTAAGTCTTCGTGTGGCCCTGACGTACTTTGAAACCAAGCGCCGCTAGTTCATCTTTTATCACTTCAGTTGGGGTTGAGGAGTGTAAATTTCTTATTACTACTCGTAACGATCTCTCCTGCCTAAGCTGGTACGTATGAAAATTCGCATTCGTTTCTGAGAGGTACTTCACTATTATTCGGTAGGTTTCAGCAGTATCTGGTGTTATTTTTGTATCGTTGGTCCTGTTAAGACATGAATAACTGCCAGAGCAGATTTTATTTAGTTGGGTGCAGAACAACTGGAAATTTTTGATATTTTTCGCAAATATCGGAGGAGGCCTTGGTTCTGTGGTTATTGCTGCAGACTCCATTACTTCTCGGTCATTTTGAAGCACTTGGTAGGGGTTTGGAGTAAAGAAAGGGGATTCTTCGATCGTTTCTTGAGAAGAAGTTCCTGGTTGTGGCTGAGGTTCTGGTTCTGAAGTGTTCACTTTTGTTGTTGGAGATGTTTCTCGTAGGCAGCGACGAGTACTTTGTTTTGCTGGTGAGCTAACTCCGTCTGACCGAATCCTCTTGGACATCTTACTAGACATCACTTGGTGAGTATACCGCATACGATAGAAGAAGAAAGAAAAAGAAAAAAAAATGACAAAACAATAAAAAAATGTATCAAACAGCAATATAAACTGCTCTGATGTACACGTGAAATGTATTCAATGAAAAAATCAGAGAGATTCCACTCAAAAATAGGCAACTACTGAGAGACCAGTTGAGAGCACAACCATCTAATAAGCTGATCCACTGTCTTCTCAGGGAATAAATTAAAGTAATTTACTGTCTTTCGTGACGGTGGAGAATACAAAAAAAAAAAAAAAACGAGCCTGGTTCTGCTTCCAACGAGGTTACCCTTTCGATGTTGCACAGTCGTTGGTGAGAAAGTATCAAATCGACGGTGGAGAAGACTAGGAATAGGAGCTAGAGATAATTGGAGTAATAATGAACTATGATCTGAGTGTTTTGTTAATTAAATAATTTTATTAACACATCTTCAACCCTTAAAAGAAATATGAAAAATTAAAAGATAATATTTCTCGTTTTTTTTATGTATTTAAAAAATTATTATCATATATTTTCTGTAATATTATTTTTATTATTAGAAATATTATGGGAAATGTTTGAGAAATATTTCTGAGTAATATATCTCTCGTCCCTATTTACGCTTCCGGTGCTTTCAAACTTCGTCAGATAACCGTTAGAGATGACGCCACATAAACATCTCTTCTCTCTCCCCCTCCCTTGTAACGACTTTTATTCTCCCTGCAACACTTGTGGAGACAGGTAGTACTTCTTTTATTTCTTTCTTATTTCAGCTTTCTCAGTTTCTTCCCTCCTTCCTTTCATTCCTTTTCTCTGTTTTTAACTCTTTATTATATTATACATTGTCTGTACATCTTGATAGACTTTACAATATCTCAATTTTCTATCTAACTACCCTATTCTCAATGTCTTAATTTTACTATTTATTTTCATTTCTTATATAACTTCATATTTCTTTTTTATGTTTTACATTTTATTCTAAGATTCCCATTTTAACACTTAGGTCACCCTTTTTGATTATGCTTATACTTCATCATTCCACACTTTGTAACGGTTATTATTATTTATCTCTTAGTTCTTACTATTGTCATTGTTCTAACAATTTCATTTTACTTTATTTTTTAAATAATTTTTTTCTTTATTTTTTTATTTTTTTTACCATCACTACTTATGTTTCTCATACCTTGTTATCTGGTTATTTTCTTAGCCCTGATGAAGGCCTGAACTTCAGGTCGAAACGTCGGCATATGTAAAAATAAATATTATCATTTATTTTTGCCTTCTTTTTTGACTGACCACCCCAACTATTCTTCCCTTCATTATCCACGACAGTCAACCATTTACAAATTATGAATATTATTTTTTCTGTGATTACTACTGTTCAAGAAAAAATCTGCCGTACCAAGTTGAATTAAATTATTATAAATGATAAATAACGTTTTGACTGAGGCGGGAAAAATGAGACTAAAGAAATATATTTTGTTGTAGTAATTTAAGGCATCAGCTAAATATTTTTCTCTCCTGAAGGAATGACTCCATGATTTTAATTGACTTCTCCGGGATTTTATAAAGGAAAAATCCTCCAAAATATCACCATTTCATTGGTAAGATGTCAATGTAAATATATATAACCGTGTGTGTTTATATGCGTAACTTTTTTTTATTTGTAAAACCCAACTTCTATGGGAAAATAATTAATAGTTGTAAATATTATCATACATTTCTGAAACGTTTGGTGAAAAAAAACTAATAAAACATTAATCTACACTCTTATAATGACACGGAAGCTTATCTCCATTCATACTAGAGACCTTGGAAAATGATCAATGGAGAAGCAGAAAGCCACGAGATCTGTGTTTTGTCTACAACTGCCACCCTTGTATAAACAACCAATGCAGGAACATCTATTCTACAACGTTTTTTTATTCTGGTGGGGATGATAGGAGTTAAAATATGAAAATTTTCAGCAATAGTAGAAACAAAATTTCTCGATTCTTTAATTTGAAAAATTACCATTTATTTATTTGCAAAAGAAATATTAATATTTTCCAAACTCTTTTGAATTTCAACTTTTCCCTTACTTGTTGTGAATGTTTATGAGCACTTTACAACAATAATTTTCTTTTATATTCAAACGCATTAATATAATTTTAATCAATAAAATTTCTAACTCTTAAAAATGTTTGGGTATTGCTTTTAAAATTTAGAAACTCTTTGAGTAAAATTTCTCAGTTTTTTGGATTTTCAAATTGTTGGTAAGGGCAGTTTAGAGATTTATATTTGTTGAAGTTTTCATTTTCTCTTGCAGAACCTGTCACAAGAATCGTTGGTGGCCCTGACCTTCACATAAATTATGGTTCGACAATTAACTTAACCTGCATAGTTATCCACAGCCCCGTACCTCCTCCATCTATCATCTGGACACATAATGATAAGGTATTGTATAACTTTTATTTATGGATGCTATATTAATACTGTTATATATGTATCTACTCTTTAGATCAACACTATGGTAAATCATTTGTTGTTTAACTCTTGCTTATTTTTAGAACCTGTTTACATTACGCTGATACCGCAGTATACACGATACTTCGGGAATAGAACTAACACCTATATTCTCTTCACCTACTTTACCTATATTCTAATTTTAAATTCAGAGATGCTATTTATTCACTCTATCGCCATCAATATTTATCAGGTTACCCTCTCTACCAACGCCCCATATTTTCTTTATTTCTAATGAGATCGTCTGAGCGTTTGGATGATTCTCCGATCACGAGAAACTTAAATGACAAAATTTTAATAACTTATACTGGGATTTGTATTTTTTTTAAACGTACCTAAACCTTGAATTGATTCTCAGGCGTTAATCTCAACAAGAGACCATGATAAAAACATTTTGTTCATGGGGAATTTAAAATTTTTATTAATGACAAGAAGCTGGATTTTATTCTTATTCTTTTTTATTAAGATCTAAGAGTAAGGAAATAAGTGAAATTCAGCAAAATATGTACTGTATGATCTAGAGCCCTCACACACAAGATTGGCAAAAATTAACTAAAAACTACAACTAATTTAATTTTAATTCTGTTCTAAACACAATTAAACCGTTATGGTTGAGAAATAGTTGACTTTAGATAATATGGTTAGGAGTTTAATCATAGTGGAAAAAAAATATTTTATTTTGTACTGAAGTTACCGTTTAAGTTTGAGGTGCTCGCTCAGAGGATGTCGGAGTGTCCACCGCTGGCCTCAGCGAATTGACAAATATAAATAGCTCTTCAACTAAAATTATTCTATTCAGTTTTTTATTTAATGATTGGTATTTTATAAGAGATTTCATGGAGCAAAATAATAGTTTTTTATAAGGCTAGATTAACTTTTAAATTATATAAATAAAAACAAAAAACTTGAATGTAGTTTTAGTTTAACAGCAATAGAAACCTGATAATGACAATAGTTAACAGCTTGGTCATCACATTTCTATCTAAATTACTCGACCAATACCACAGTAACTCACATATTTAAAAATTGTTTCTATAAATTGTCTTAACTCAAAAATAAAATAAAATTAACAAAAGTAAAATAATAACTAAATAAAAACTATATACCATAAAAAAAAAAAAAAAAAAACCTAAATACAAGTAAATTAAAAACATAAAATCAGTCACACCTATATACAATATTTACAATCAGACGGGGATCCCAAATCCCCGCGCTACTCTCTCAACCGCCTCACCGGTGCTAAAGCCGGTGGAGATTGAGCGAGAGCGCTTAGCCACATACACTCATGTCTTGAGTGGAGAATCTGGCCATTGCCAGAACTCCAAGATACATACTATAAAAGTTCTCTGGGCCACTGCCGTAGGGTTTTGTTGGTTACATAGAACGGAGCATCGACTATTGTTCGGAAGACTTTGCACTGAAAGAATTGGATGCGTTTGATGTTAGAAAATTTTGCTGTCACCAAAAGTTCAAGTCCGTAGGTCCGAATAAGTTTCAGGATTGTCTTGTAGATCAGTAATTTTTTGTCAATTGAAAGTTGAGATTTTCTAGTCAGTAGTCTGTATAATTTGCCGTATCGTTGGTTAAGTTCTTGTCTTTTAAGTCTAGTATGTGGGTTCCATTTTAGTGTTTTGTCTAGAATAAAGCCAAGATACCGGACTGTGTTGGACAAAGGAAGTGGTATGGAGTTGAAATAAACTGGTGGACAGGAATTGCGTCGAAGGGTAAAAGTGATATGTTTGGATCTAGATTCATTTACTTGGATTCGCCACTTATTACACCAGTGTTCAATAAGAGAGAGGTGACTTTCAAGGTTTAAGGATGCAGTTTCAGGATCTGGATTGGATGATAGGATGGCGGTGTCATCAGCAAATGTTGGCAGGAACGTATTGGAATGGACAGGGATATCAACAGTAAAAAGGATATAAAGGACGGGGCCCAAGACGCTATCTTGAGGAACACCGGCTTCAGCTGGGTAGGAATTGGAAAATTCTGTACCACAGCGAACTCGAGAGGTGCGATGAGAGAGGTATTAGCATAGTTAGGTACAAGGAATGCGGAAGATAAACATATAAATATTGAAAATAGAATTCCAGATTATAATAAACAAACGATAACAATATGTAATATAATACAACAATAATATTATCCAAAATCTCAAAGGAAGAGAAATTTGAACAATAATAAGGATCACATAAATCTAATGTTTACTTAATAACCTTTTTTATCAGTTAACAAAAATGTCAAGATAAAAAACAAAACACTTAGATAAAACATCTAATACTTTTTCTCTCTGCAGAATAAGGTCTCAATAATTAACAGATAATAATCGAATATATTTGTTTGAATTGTCGTTAAATTGGAGTCGAGAACTTAAAAAGTTCCCCTATCTACTTTTCATGATCAATCGGGTTGGGAAAGAAGTAGGTACTTCAAAAAGGAGAGATTTAAATGAGGAAACTGATTGCGCATGTCGGATATCGGGAGGGGTGGTATTCCAGATGGAGACGGCTTGAATTATAAAGGATTTGTCAAACGCAGCAGTTCGGTGAGGAGGTGGATAGAGGTCAGAAGTACGGGATCTAGTGGGACGGGATTGAATAGAATATTAAAATATAGGAAGGTCGCTGAGTTCTGATGGCTTGGTATAGAAAGGTAGCAAAGAAGTACAGACGGCGGTTGGATGGATGGAGCCACTTCAACTTGGTGTAATACTAGGTTATATGCGTATCTCTTGAGATTCATAAAACAAAACGTATTGCGCAGTTCATTAGGCGTTTTAAGTTTGGTCTCGAATTATCCCTAGAGTCCGCCGTACACCAGACAGCCATAGTCGAAGTGGGGGAACACAAGGGAGGAAATCAGGAGTTGTCGGGATTTATATGGAAGGAGATATAGAAGACGGTTAAACAGTTTTATATTAGAGATTGTACGACGGGAAATTTGGGGGATGTGTGGTTTCCAGGAGAGGGTTTGATCAAAGGTAACACCAAGGTTTTTTATGGAAGAATGGAATGAGATAGGTGAGTTGTTCAGGAAAAGATTGGGGGTGTCGGTATGGATTTGATGATGAAGGGGGTTCCGATCACGATGGCTTTCGTCTTCTCGGAGTTTAGAATAATTCTGTTATGGTTTTGCCCAGGCACAAATTCCGTTTATATCTTCTTGTAATTTTCGGATGGCGTCAGAGGATTCGGTCGGATTGAAGGAGAGGTAAATCTGGACGTCGTCGGCATATAGATGGTATTTACAGTGTAGGATAGAGGATGGAAGGTCATTGATGTAGATGGAAAAAAGGGTGGGAGATAAGGAGGAGCCTTGTGGGACACCTCTGGACAAGGGTAAAGATTCTGATAGGGGGCCATTGGAGACTACAAAATACTGGGAGCGGCCGGTAAGGAAGGATTGGAACCAATTAAGGGTACTAGTTGAAAAGGAGATATTTTTCAGCTTGGTTAGGAGAAATTTTTGGTCTACTGAGTCAAACGAACGAGCGTGGAGCTAGGTGGCTAATGGAGGCCAGACCGAGGGAGCAGTGAACCGATAATCACATGTAATAGTTATGTGGATAGACTCGGACGTGTGGAGGAGTCAACCCTTGGGGAGGTGAAGGGGAAGGGCGAGGGAAGAGGATAGGGACACATACCGAAGGTGGGCCCAGACTACTCCATGCTTAACAGCCTGAAGGAGATGGAGAAAGGAGAAGGTGTATTTTTATATCAAAATTTTAATTTTTGACAAGAAACTAGATTTTATTTTCATAAATATATATATATATATATATATATATATATATATATATATATATATATATATATATATATATATATTTATTGCTACAAATAAATAATAAAATAAAAGCCAGAAGGGATAAGGCTTTATTTATAATAACAATAAATGCCTAACAAAACAGTTTATTCTAGGAAAACAGGTTTATATTATCTTACTTCAGACAAGTTCTATTCCAAGAATATTCCTCAATTGTGTTTAATTTCTTCCTTTTGTAATGTTAAATTCTATTTTTGATTGTCACAGAATTATTTACTTTCTTCATATTTTTCTTTCTTAAATAATGAATTTAATTTGAACAATATAGTAAAATAATAAAATAAATATTAACACACATATTCATTTATATTTATAAATCATCTAATTTATCACAAAAGTGCAAAAATGTGCAATTTAAAGCGAATAAAATGTGAAATAACATAGAAATCCGGTCTCTACTTATAATTATCGTCATAAAAAGAAAATTGCTTCACAATTCATTTACAACAAAAGATAAACAAGGTAGTGAATAAAAGAGATAGTTTATTCAGAAAAGTGTTGGGGAAGTAAAGGAGTGGGATCTAAGTATACAAGTAATCATAAATGAGTCACTTGTTCAACTCAAACTCTTTTCTCTTTAATAAACAGTTAGCGTTTGTTAATACCTCCTTTTAATAAAAAAAAGGTATTAACAAACTATGATGATGAATGACAAACTATGATAATTGACTTACTTTGATGATGAAACTTTTTGACGGCTTCATAATACCACGGCTTACAACAATAAACCATATTGGAATTATGATGCCAATTACATTTGCCCCTAATTTATTTTAAAAGACGACTATATAAAACATAAAATGAGTATTTATTTATCTAAATGTTTCGACCTCTAGAGTTATTTACAACGTTGTTTAAATTTGATTTATATATTTCGTTAAAAATACTTGCAGTGGCGTAATTATGTTAGAAGCACCCTGGATCAGAGTTATTGCATTAGGTCATAGATCATATCATATACACTAAAGTGGTGACCTCGACGTTTTAACGATCTCCTGTGTTTTTTTTTATTTATGGGATGACATGGTCCAGCGGCCGCTCATTCCTCCATATTATTATTATTATCTAATCTCGGGTCCGGGCCTCCACCAGCAACTTCCGCCAATCGTCACGGTTTCGTGCAGCCGCCTTCCAGTTGCGCACAAGGATGTTCCGAGCGTCACCAGCAACTTCGTCTACCCATCTATGCTTCGGTCTTCCTCGTCTTCTCGTTCCATAGAGAGGCTCCATCAAAATCTTCCTGGGCAACTCCTTCTTCGCTCATGCGCGCCACATGTCCCGCCCACAGCAATCGGCCCAGTTTAACCATCTGAACGACATTTGGCTCTCTAAAGAGATCATAAACCTCCTGGTTTGTGCGCCTCCTCCAGGTTCCATCCACCAACCCTCGTCCAAATATATTCCGAAGGATTTTCCGCTCGAACACAAGGAGAATCTGTCCATTATGTTCGGTCATAGTCCACGTTTCTGAGCCGTACATTAGCGCTGGACGTATTATGGTTTTGTAAAGATGTAATCTAGTTTGGCGGGAGAGAATGTGGCCGCCAAGCTGTTTTCACAGGCTGTAGTAGCACTGATTGGCAGAGATTATCTTCCTTCTAATTTCCATTTCTGCGCTATTGTCTTGCGTTACCATAGAGCCTAGATAAATAAATTCGGTGACATGCCCAAATCGGTATCATTGCATCCAGGCGTCTCTTGGGTCACCATGTACTTGGTTTTCTCGTGGTTCACCTCCAACCAAAGTTTCCTTGCAGGACCTACAAGTGCTATAAAAGCTTCTCTGACAGCTTGTTGACAGCACCCAATTCATGATGTCGACATCGTCTGCATAAGCCAACAGTCAATTTTCCGCATCGAAAGCCACATTGTTAACGACCCATTGTTCTATCAGCGATGAGAAGGAGACGAGTGAATAGCACCTTTGAGAAGACTTTGTATCCCAAAGTCAGAAGATATGCCTCTTTAATTAGTACACACTAGGCGATTACCCTTCTTGTGAATCGGAATATCATCGATTTTCTCCATTACTTCATCAACCCACACAGACATAAAAGGTATTGAAATGCCTTCACTTGTTCGCCTGTTGCCTCGCCATCGTAAAAGTTCGGCAGGAAACCAATCGCACCCTGGAGCCTTGTAGTTCTTCAGCCTAATTACAGGTTCTTCAATCTTCTCCTCAATGGTTCAGTTAAATCAGTTTAGATCCCAGTTAAAGGCTTTCTGAGCTTATTTATCCAGAAGAACTTTCTCAACCCATTGCTTCCTTGCAAGTCTTCAACTTTCTGCTCTTCACGTCTTTTCTGCATCTTCTTTCCACGATGAAGTTTCTTCTCCTCTCGACGAAGTCTCGTATACTCCTCCACATTATTTCTCGTCCCTCTCTGTATCATAGCATGATATACTAAATTCTTTCATTTTTGCACTAGCCATCAAACCACGTGGAACGGCAATTCTTTTTGGGCTGGTCCGAGAATTGCATCAGCCGTTTCATCTAAGGCTTTGATGCAGACCTGCCACTCATCTTCTTCCTATCCTCATCCATGTTGCGTTGATTGTAATAACTTGTCAAGCTCGACAGTATACTGTTTTATTACCATCGGGTCTTGGAGCTTCTGCAAGTTGAACCGTTTGTTCTTTCTACTCCTAAAGCCCAGTCTGGACAAAGAGATCTTGGCTTTAAGATGAGCCACTGAGAGTTCCTCCATATACTGGTCCCTATAAGATTCTAAATAGGGACAAGAATACACTCGTCCTCCAATTTCCAAACGGTCGCAAGACCGTAACTATCGACAGATTGAAACCAGCATTTCTGCTACAGGATCAAAACTCAAGTTCCAGCCAGCTGGACACTCCAAGTATACATAAGGATAATGAATTCAATGACTCCCCCGAGGCAGACCGCCAAGTTCCTGAATCAACCACTAGTAGTGGGAGGCAGGTCAGGCTTCCAGTCCGTTTTCTAGACGAAGTCATTGGAGGTGTTGATGTAGCGGAGTAGTTGCGTGTGAATTCAAAAGGCACAGACAAACTAGGCAGTAACCTCCCAGTTAGATCATAAAAAGTTGTTGATGTTTGTATTGCAAATCTATTATTGATAATATATATATATATATTATGAAGATTTGTTAGTGTATGTTATTGCATTAGGTCATAGATCATATCATATACACTAAAATATAAATATATCTATATCTATCTATAATTTAGATTTCTGAATATAAATTAATAGAATGAAATTTAACTCCTTTTATAAACATATTTTTTTGTCTATTCTTTTATAGGAAGTAAACTATGATTCTCCTCGTGGTGGTGTCAGTGTTATAACTGAAAAAGGCGATAATACAACAAGTTATTTGCTCATTCAGAAGGCGAAATACAGTGATTCTGGCTCCTATAAATGCATCCCATCCAATGCAGATCCTCTTTCTGTGTTTGTACATGTAATGAATGGTAAGCTACAGCAAAAGTACAAAAACAGATTCATGAATCATGAATTAAATGTTATTTTCTCTTGATCTTTTGTAGATCTCTATAATTATTATACTTTTTCTAAATTATGTTTAAAAATTCTGTGTAAAAAGTTTAACTACATAAATTGAAAACATTTTTGCAGTGCAGATTTCTAAAATGGTTTTATACATATAAAGGCAGACAGAAGTCATTACGTTGTTCATTATAGTTATTCTGAGGGGACTAAATGTAACAGAATAAAATTCACTTCATTTATTTATTTATTTCTATAAAAATTACATTAATGAAAATATATTGTTTAAATTTTGTTCAATGTATTTTATGTAACAAAGTAATCCTAATGAAAAACTTTAATTTATTTTTCTATTTTTTACAAAATCATATCAAACTTATTTATCAAAAAACTCATTTGTACGGGTATTTCTTTGTTTTCACACCTTTATGAAGTTCCCTGACTCACACCAGAACATTTATTTGTATTAAATTATAAAAAGCCATTCAATTTATCATTAGTAAAATAGATATTATAGAATAAATTATGTGATATAAATTATATGTTGGTATTTTTTCTTATCAATATCATGTATTGATTTATATTATTTTTCTTCACATCTAACTATGCACAATTCTGAGGTATTCTCAACATTTTTATTGTAAATTTATTTTAAATCAAGATTATTATTATTATTATTATTATTATTTTTATTATCAGCTGCCATTATGACCTAGTTGTTAAGTCAAAAGCTACTTTCCTGTTTCTCACACCATGGTGTGTGACCTTGTGTCAGTAGCCACCTCATCATTTCAACAATTTTTAGGACATCTAACTCATCTTGTGCCATATAAACATTCTAAAAAAATTGTATATACGATTTTATTTGGTTCCATACATACTACATGGCCACCCAATGAAGCCTTGATAAGTTTAGGTGGTAAATCATACATCTAGATCCTCTAATACGACTTTTAATTCTGTATTATTCCTCCTCCTCTTCCAAATATGTATTTCGTCTTTTCCTCATTTACCATGTTTCCTCATAGTACAGCTGCATATTACAATGTCATAAAAACAATTTTGTCGAGAGATCTTCCAGCAATATCTAGGTCATCTTTGTATCTAAGAATCTGTACTGTTATGTTTGTTAAAGTCTTGGATATCTGAATACCTGTGGATCTAATAGCTTTCTATAGGAAAGTTAAAGACCAGGCAAGCAAGGCTATCCCACTAACTGTCTCCTATATCAGTTGAAAATCCTCTCGAGGTCAAGATGAAGAAAACAGTGTAAGAACTTCTTTACAATCTTCATTTTTGATAATTTCTCGCATAAATAGAAATAATCATATACTTTTATTTTATATCTGTCATGGTATCTTGAAAAATAAATCATCTGTAAACATAGAATGAACTTAAATAACGCAATTAATTTAATTGACACAAATGAGAATGGCCGACTGCTGATAAATTTTGCTGCATCCAAGGACCTGGTTGTCGGCAGCACGCTCTTCTCTGGCAAAAACATCCATAAAGGAACATGGCACTCTCCTGATGGAAGTACTGTGAACCAAATAGATCACATCCTGGTCAGCAGGAGGCAGTTAGGTCCCCGTGGTTTGATGCGGAGTGTGCAGTTGCTACGAATGTAAAAAATAAAGCCTTCAAAAACATGGTTCAGAACCGGCACACGAGAAGGGCCACGGGGGAGTATAGAGACAGAAGGACGAAGGAGAAGAGAGACTATACAGACAAAAGAAGAGAGAATGGGATAGTCGTCAACTAGAGGAGATGGAGGAGCAAAGGAGACACAATAAATCAAGGTCATTCTACAAGGCGGTGAATACAAAGAGTAGGATATCATTCAAACCAAGGTTCTGATTATGTCGAAACGAAGACGGCTCCATGATCACAGAGAAGGAGGAACATTTGGCCCGATGATGTCATCACTTTGATGCACTTCTAAACGAAGCTGCAGATGGTCCGGACGATTTCATATTCCCAAGTGGTGAGCATGACCTGGACTCCCCAGACCCACCGACATGTGAGGATGTTCTTGAAGCAGTCAACAGACTGAATAACAACAAAGCCCTAGGAGAGGATGGAATTCCATCTGGACCTTCTCTTGCAAAGAACAAAAAGATTTACTAATCTTTGAAAGGAAGATCCTTCGGCGTATCCTTGGACCTGTTAAGGTCGGTGATGATTGGAGAAGGAGGACTAACAGAGACCTATATGATCTGTATGGGGAGACAATGTGTTGAGATGCATCAAGCTAGGCAAATACGTTGGGCTGGCCATGTGGCCAGAATGCCAGAAGAGGAAGTCCCAAGGAAGTTGCTTGAAGAGAAGCTCTGCAGGACAAGAGGGAAAGGCAGACCGCGTCTAAAATGGGAGGACGCTATCATCCAGGACGACAGAAAAGTATTGCATACCCGCAACTGGCGAGCGACTGCGCAAGATTCATTGGGCTCTTTGAGGCGGCCAAGGACCACACCGGTCTGTAGCGCCATAGAGTTAGTTAGTTCTCGCATTAATATAAATAATCATATACTTTTATTTTAAATCTGTCGTGGTATCTTGAAAAATAAATCATCTGTAAACATAGAATCAACTTAAATAATAAAATTTGTTTTTCTTCCAAATAAAAATTATTATTATTTAATAGGTCAATCTCTTATTAGATCTGTACCGACATATGGCTCAGAGACATGGCCATTATCACGAACAGACGCCATCAGGTAGCAGATTTTCAAGAGAAAAATCCTGAGAAAAATGTTTGGCCCTGTAAAAGTTGAAAATCGTATAGGCTAAGGCATAATGCAGAGCTGTACCAAATTTACCGGGAATCGGATGTGGTGCAAGTTATACGCCTCTCTAGGCTAAGCTGGGCTCAGCACGTTGCAAGGATGGATGGGAACTCAACAATCAAGTGTCTACTTTTCGAGTATGTGGATGGCAGAAAGAAGTCGTGAGTATAAAATTCCCACCCATCATCTGTTTATGGAATTCAAGAGCGCCTACGACACCATAAGGATATACAAGTTGTATGAAGCAATGGAAGAACTAAACATTCTCTCTAAACTAAATCGTCTGGTTAAAATGACAATGCAGGACGTACAGTATCGAGTAAGCATTCATTCGGAATGTTCCTTGGAGTTTCCCACCAATAAAGGACTGAGACAAGGTAATGCTTTCGCATGTTTATTGTTTAATTTGGCTCTGGAGAAGGTGGTGAGCGACTCATCCATTCAGACTAGGGGCTCGATATTTACAAATATGGTGCAACTGTTAGGTTATGCTGACGACATTGATATTGTTGCACGGTCCGTTGCAGCTCTCGAAGGTGTCGTTCTAGAATTGCAAAAAGCTGCAGCTAAGATGTGGCTCCACATTAATGAGAACAAAACAAACCATATTTATACAGGAGAAGGAGAGAATCCCCAAAACCAAAGAATATCTCTAGACCCTTACACCTTTGAGAATGTCCAACAGTTCTCTTATTTGGGATCTCAAATTACGATAAAAAATGAGGTGACACTTGAAATAAAGCGGAGAATAGCAGCTGTCAACCGATGCTATTTTGGCCTACCTAAGCACATGAGAAGCTTACTACTTAGTAGACGAAAGAAGCTGCAGCTTTATAAAACGCTCATCCGGCCAGTTCTTATCTACGGTAGCCAAACATGGATCTTAGCCGAAAATGACGAAAAAGACCTTCTGGTCTTTGAAAGGAAAATCCATAGAAGAATATTTGACCCTGTAAAGGAGGGACTGGATTGGAGAATTCGGAAGAATAGAGAGGTCTACGAATTGTTTAATGAACCTAATGTGGCAAAAATGATAAAATTAGGAAGGTTAAGTTGGGCAGGACACATAGCTCGGATGGAGAGGTCTGAAATCCCGATAAGAGTGCTTGAACAACCATTACACTATACAAGGAGAGCTGGCAGACCAAAATTGAGATGGGCAGATGCTGTGGCAGGTGAAGCGAGATACTTGTTGGGTGTCAGGAATTGGAAAGCGGTCGCACAGAATAGAGAAATTTGGCGGAAGCTCGTTGAGGACGCTAGGGCCCACTAAGGGTTGTAGAGCCATTATGATAGATAGATAGATGGATGGCAGAAGAAGGAGAGGACGTCCACGACTGAGATGTGCAGAAGCCGACGCAGAGAAGCTAAAGCTTGGCAGATCCTTGCACAAGACAAAGAGAAATGGAGGCGACGTATTAATGCGGCGAAGACCCGTACCGGGTTGTAGTGCCTGTGATGATGATGATGAACAGGTCAATATATTGTTTGTTTAATTTATTTATTTTTATGTTATGACTTAAGAGACAAATATCTTCTCTAAGGGCTTATGATCGGTGGTCAAAATAAATCTCTGTCGAATAAATGAGACAGATGATGAAGTGTAATGGACTGCTGTAGCTGTATTGTTACAAGGAATACAAGAATGCATCTCACGGAATGACTAAAATTTCGTCTGCTGATCTCTTAAATATAGTAACATCCGATATAGTTTCTTCTGAATTGAAACGCGACACAGATTTGAATGCAGATTGTCAGAAAGCACTTCAAAATTCTAGAGTAAGTTTTGAAAGTAATAAGAAGCGGTTAAATCAAACTAGGAAAGAATGTGAACTCAAGAAGGCGATTTAGTGTATATTTCAAACGGCAATAGATTAAATAGAAATAAATTAGATGAAATTAGGACAGGATCTTTTATAATAAAAAATAGAGTTTCATTATCCATATATGAAGTACATTGTAATAAAAAACATAGGGCAGGAAATTTCTACTATAGCTACTAGTTAGTTCCATACTTTTTTCCTGTAGAAAAAGAGTCTTCGGGAGATATAAATTATGTTCATAATTTAGACTACATTGTTAGCTTTGATAACATCTGGTAATAAATAAACTTGTATTAAGCAATTATTTCACTTCATGAAAACCGTAAAAAGGGGACTTTTAATTTGTTCTATTGTTTTAGCTAAGTTTCTATTTTGATGTTCTTTCCTCTACTTCTATTACACTTCTGTAAAATTTGATTAATAATAAACTATTGTTTTAGCAATCATCTAGCAGTATACTTTCATGCATACTAAAGTCTATACACCATTTTCCATGAATGTAACATAATTTATTTATTTTACAGAAAAACCTGAAGCTATGCAGCGTGGAAGTCAACTGCGAATAGAGTCTGAAACCTGGCAGTTTTATACCACAACATTGATTATTTTTTTGCTTCAATAATTTAAAAATACAATTTTAAGTCATTTGTGACTTGTGATATTTGTTTGTGTTAATGTTTGTTGTTAAGGCGATAAATATGTTTTGTTGTCATCTGAATTGATGTTGCAATTAACATTTACAATAAAATTCAAGAAATAACAAAAAAATAATATATATGTATATGTATATCATTTAATGTTTAGAGGAACTTAATAGTAATTTAATGATATTTAACTGAAATTCCTCATGGTCATCCCATTTCCCTTGAGGGTGTATCCCCGTCCATTTACTGTGATTTTAGAAATTGTTACCTAACCAAACTCCTTTTGTTCCAACTATTATTTTCACTTTAATATCACTCATAAAAATTAAAATTGGTGGCATATTATTTCATTTTGTTTTTAAAAAATTACTTAGGAAAATAATTGTACAAAACTTTGTTATAAATAAGTACAGATATTAATAATCTCATGTCTTATTGCAATTTGTATGTTTAGAAGTTTCTTGATGTATGTAGTTTAAATGAAATTTTAACTGAAAGTATATTTTTGTCATTTATAGTATTACAATTTAGCTGCATTTAATATTAACCATTATGAAAAAAATATTTCCTTGTATGTTTTTGAAATCTGTAATGGCTAATATGACATTAAAGTTCTTATAATGAGAAATACTTTCTAACAGCTATAATTACTACAGTGCTTATCATTTATTGCATCATGTTTCTACGTATATGTACATTGTTTTCTAATATTTGTAGTTAGTTTCATTTATTGTTTGTTAACTTATATATGATAATGTTTGTCTTTGTTGAGGTATAAAGAAAAAAGAACTCTTTGAAGATTTCATTATGAATGTCAAAGAATAATGTTTAAATATTAATATAAAGTATGGATATGTATGTTATTTCACAACATTTATTTTCTTTTTACATTGGCTACATTTTGGCTACAATGCCATTTTCAAACCATTTTAATTAATGATGCTTCTTATATATAGTCCATAAGTGGAATATGTAGTCCATGTAAGTGTGGTGGACCATTAATCCAATTATGGACTATATGTATGAAGCCTCATTAATTGAAATGGCTTGAAAAAGGCATCCTAGCCGAAATGTAGTCAATGAAAAAAGAAAATAAATGTAGTGAATAACATACATTGCCTAACTTAATATAATTATAATTAATTTCAACTAAAAAAATATAAATGTTACAAATATTTATCTTTTAATTTTATTTTGATAAATACTTCCAATTAGGAAATGTATTCAATGCATGTTTAAATTTATATAAGTAGCGTGCTTTATAAATAATTAATACCAGTATTGTATCATTGCTATCGCTTCCATTTATTTAAGTTATTTCTTTATATAATGTGTAAAATTAATTTTATTTTACAGTTCTATTAATTTTATAACCATATGCATGATTTTATGTACTTGAAAATAAATATGATTATTTTAATCTATATGCAATAGTTCACTTAATTTTATGACAAAAGTTCAGTAATATCATATAAAAAGTATTTATCATTCAATTAAAAAATAAAGTATTACTGTTGTGTAAAATTGAAAGAAAAAAAATTTACTTCTCGCTTTATTCATATTGTGGTAATAATAGAATTGCAATTATGATTTTTACACTTCACTCAGTTTATATCTTTAATTTATCATATTAACTGGAAATAAATCTATATCCCTACTTATACTGATAGATTTTATCATTAAATCACCGTATTATATATAAAAGAACCTATAAATTTTAATTCAAGGTAGAAATTTATTTAACATGAATCTTACTCTTCTACCTGAATCATAATCAAATTTTGTCATGTTAATGTATATAAGGTTTGGAGCTGGTTTGGTAGTTAGATGACTACTTAAATTTGTCAATCTGGAGGTGTTGAGAATCAGATAAATATTAAGGGACATAATATATATGCAATTATGTTTCTTTATTAAGCTAAATTTAATTAGTATCCATAATACTATAACCAAGATAACCCACTTGATTTTAAGTCAAATAAGATTATTGAATAAGTATCTTTATGAAATATGATAAGGATATGAATGTTATAACATTTTAATAAAAAAGTTTAATTTTTTTTCTCAAAGACACTTTAATTGACTGATTATTTGCCATTTCTTCCATGACCCAGTATTATTTAGAACTATTTCATTAACCCCCATGATTTATTCCACAAAGCAATAACTGCTCTTACGATGAAAACGGAAATTACTTCTTCTAAAAGAACTAGAACTTTGAAATGAATTTAAAATAAAATACTGAAAGTTTCAGCTATAAAATGTAATTTTGAAACTAATAGGATAAAAAAAGATCATTCCAAATAAATCCATCAGATCATTTGAGTGTGCTGAAAGGTTTAAGATATAATTAATTCTGAATTATATATATGAAAATAAATGCATCACCTAACTGAAATAATCAGAGGTGCCTATCCACAAGGCCGATGGCGCATAAACCTTTCCCCACCCCTCCCAAAATATTTTAGAATAGAATAGAATAGAAAATTGAACTTTATTCTGGGACTAAGTCCCCTTAGAATGACAATGATGAATAAATACAAAAGAAAATGGAAATCTGGACAAAAACTAACTTATAAAAATTCTAACATTATATACATTAATTTAAAAAATAGTATATACCCACTACAAAATAAAAAGATGAACATAAAATCTTCTCAAAATTACTTATTATTTTGACGGAAGAAAAAAATAATTAAATATTTATTTTATTTATTTTTTATTTTTTTATTTTTTTTTTCCTAGGAAGTTGTCAATTTAATTTAGTTGCTTGGCAATAATAATTGGAAGTTATTATTTCCAAGCAACTAAATTAAATATTTATATATACATAACTACACAATCTAAAAACAATAGGCTAACTAGTAAAAAAATAACTTAATACAAAATGTAATAATATCTACAGTGATTTACATAATATTATGCAAATACTAAAAGAAATAAAAATAAAATCTTCTCAGGAATACTTGTAGTGTAATGGAAAAAATATATATATATTTTATTACTATCTTCTTTTTTAAAACAGTGCAAACGAAAGTAGAATTTGAATATTCGTAGATTATATACTATTAAACATCCTGTGGTCTGTTCCAGAAAATCTAAACTTTCTATTGAAAAAAAATTACTTATCTAAAATACAATCCTGAAAGCTATGTGGACATACGGACTTGAACTGTGGGGAACAGCAAAATTTTCTAACATCAAACGCATTCAACCATCTCAATCTAAAGTCCTTCAAATAATAGTTGATGCTCCATTCTATGTAACCAACAAAACCAAATACCATGACCTTAATACTCCATTTGTCCTAGACCTTATATCAGAAAAATTCTCCAAATTTCACCAGAATCTTACTTATCATCCAAATTCCCTTGCGAAATCCCTATCCAGCACCACACATCCATACAATCCTCCTCAAAGATTGAAGCGGCAGTGGCCCAGAGACCTTTTGGAAATAAGTATATAATGGAGTTTTGGCAATGGCTAGATTCTCCTCTTAAGCCATGTATGTGTGATTATAGCGCCTCTGCTGGTTATTAATACCAGTAATGGGGTTGAGTGAGAGGTATTGGGATCTCCTAGAGTCTTTGCCTTTCCTTCCATGAGTGGGGAGAAAGGCTTTGCTCGGAGATCTTGATTTAATGAATTTTTTAGATATTCTACAGAAGCATGTGTGTATTTGGGTAGTTATTTTGATTATATTTGTTTAGTTTAGTTTGTTTTAGTTTATATACATTTACTTTTAGTATTATTATTTTTCTGTATTGTTTATTTTTATTTATTGTAAATAGAGGGTGAATGTGCTCTCTGAACACTATTATATATATCCTTAATTGTGGCAGATTATATCTCAATATCTCAATAAATATGTTTCGAAAAAAAAAGTAACTAAACAAAATTTGTATTTATTTTCAACAGAATTACTTTTTATTTTGAATCTTTCTTTCATCTTTCAATGACACAACAGTCATCTGAACTCCTTCGTAATTACCCGCCATTTGTCCCTGTCCAAAGCCACTCTTCTCCACCTTCGGACTCCAAGTGTCCTCAAGTCTTCTTCCACATCTTCCAGATACCACAATCTGGGATGTTCTCTTCTTTGTCGTCCATCAGAGTGTCCCTTCAGAAGTTTCTTCGAGATATGCCACTCTTCCATCCTCTGTAAGCACCCCAGCCACCTAATTCTACTCTTCTTGGTGCAGGTGACAATATCCAAGGTCTTGTATAAATCACGGAGCTCCTGATTGTTTCTCTGCCTCCATCAATCTCCCTTCCTCAAGGGGCCAAAAATCTTCCCAGAATTTTCCTCTCCCACACATTGAGCACTTGTTCTGATTTTCAGGTGAGGAGCATTGTCTCACTTCCATGTGTTACCACTAGTCCAATTACACTAACATATACGGCCTTTTTTAACTGCCAGGGCAACACCTTTGACCTAAGTACTTTTCCGAGCACCAAGCAACATCTACTTCCGGCCATCATGCCTGACCTTATTTCTGCCTGTATATCATCATTTGCATTAATGTTGACCAAAAGGTATTTCCTTGACTAACTCTGAGTAACTCCTGTAACTGGTCGAAAAAGTACTCTCCAGTTCCTAAGACCATTCCTTGCCCCACAATCATCCTGGGAGATCTTTGTAGACCTAGTTTTGCCTTCGTTAATGTTGAGTACTGCCATTTTTGAGGCATGTTCCCATTACTCAAAAGTTCCAAGTAAAGATGCCGGTGTGCGACCAGTAATGACGTCATATGCAAACGCAAGATACTGTGTTAATCAATTATAGATGGTGCCCCCAGGATTTGTCCTAATGGTTCTCATCATCATTTCCAAAACAACCTTGAATTGGATGGAAGACAGGGGGTCTCCTAGTCTTAATCCTTTATTGATATGGAACAACTGGACTTTGTATTTGGTATTTTTAGTTTCTAATTTTTTTATTTAAGTTAACATTACACCGATGTTTTCACTTCAAAATCCTACTATGACGTTTCGGCTAGTCGAGCCATTTTCAAGTCTATCATGTACTTATCCATTATATTTCTTATGTAAAATAAACATGTCTTCTCATAATAGCGAGTATCGTGTTCGTTGTGAAATGTTGTACACCGAAATAGAAGAAAAGAATATTGAGAATTTGTATTTTTACTTTGCCTTGTGTTCCTTCCAAGGTTGTACGCACTAATTGTATCAGTTTTTCCAGGATACCCACCTTTGCCATGGCTTGATACAACTTGCCTCGGTCTACATTATGGTATGCTTGTTTGTAGTCTATGAAGAGGTGGTGTAGAACAATATTATATTCATAGCACTTCTCCAGCATGGACCTTATGCTTGAAATATGGTCAATAGTGGATCTACACC